ACACACACACACACACACACACACACACACACACACACACACACACACACACACACACACACACACTCACACGCTCACACACGCACACACACTCACACACACACGCACGCACGCACGCACGCACGCACGTATATATAAATATATAGCGTTATAAAGAATCTAGGTTTAATCACCTGTAACTCTTCGTGATGAGGGAGATCTGTTAGCTTCTCAAGCCAACTCTTTGGCCTTTGCGCCTAAAAGGACGTTGTCCGTAAAGATATTAATTACGGAGAAACAGAATCAATATAGTTCTTTTATCACTCGGCTATCGAACAATAGCATTTTAGGAAAGACGCTACTTTACTTCACGAAATATAATATTCTGATATGATCGCAATAGTAGATTTACAGTTTGAAATTGTTGTTATAAGAAAACGACAAACCTCATCTAGGAAATTTTAATTGAAAAGCAACCGTGTCTGCTGTCGCTTGCACGTATAGCAATTACATCATATCGTTCAGCACATGTTAGGGTATGTGTGTGGCACCACTCCAGCATGCTCTTATATTTTCAAACCCAGACCATACAACCCTAGTCTACAACCAGTGTGCCAGTACTCAACGTCTCTCCCAACAATAATATTATAATTCTAAGGGAATATCTTTAGCTAGCTATCGACACATAAAACTTTAAACATATAATTATGTTTTACAAAATTACCTTTTCCGTAAATTTTGCTCCCTGGAGGATGATTACAGTCAATCCGATTATAAATAGTGTGATCGTTATCAGTCCAGCAACTAGCATAATGCCCGAGTCGTCAACGGTAGATAGTATAAATATAATCACGAATGTCATTAATATTATCGTTATAACGGAGAAAACCACACTAAAAAAGATCATGGGTGAGTAGAGAGCTTGCATATAGCTGACCACATCTGCCATCTTTACGTAGTGCAGACGTAACTCCTCTATTGACCATAACCTTCTATCACTGTCGGACGTGGGCTGATCGGCTTGGTTGGACATCCTTCTCTGCCCTCTTTTGCTAGTTATTTCTCCATTTTTGAAGACAAGCTGATTAATCTTATCGGTTACAAAATCAAAATCTCTGGCGAGAAGCGAGCAGTAAGTACCAAACGTCAGAGGCATGATAATGATATAGCTAATTATGATGCCATTCATGAACATCGAGATGATCTTTAAAGAAACACCTGCTGGACTTGTCAATATATCGTCACCATAAAACAGTGGTAATGGGTGCAGCAGAACGTTAGTAAGGCTCTTGTTAAGTTTACGGTTATCTACCACAGTCATTATAGACATAATCAACCAGATTACTATGAAAATGGACACACTAGCGCAACATATCCTGGTCTTCAGCATGATCTGCTTTCTATAAAATATTATAATTTCTCCATCTTTACACACGGCGTCGCCCGAGCGCTCCCACCACCTGTACATGAGAGGTGGCACCTTTGATGATCCGTGTAGAAACAACGCAAGTGTGACAGTTCCATACACCTGAAGAATTGCCCACACGACGCACATTATTATATTCATATATTCGGACGTACTGTAGTAGGTGATGGTATAGTGTATTATCCGTGCAAGGTTGAATACGCTCACTACAACCCAGACTGTAGATAATATAAACGAGATGCTCGCCTTTCTACGCACTAACACGGTCTGTCCATCCGACTGTTTCTTCACCTGTAAAGGCAGCAGTCCCGAAATCTTTAGCATCAGCATCCACACGCGAAACGTCTGTAGAAACTCTGTGTAGGAAATCTCATCTGTAGTGACATCAGGAGGTTCTTCATCTTGAGTTTGCAGTGCCCTTCCGGCAATTCCTAACTCCTCACCCGGAAACACCTGGTGTTTACCCATGATTTCCTTGTTTGGAATTTTTCTACTGGGATTAAAAATAGTTGGATAAGCTAAGCCTTTCCACAGTGCTCGCTCCTTCTACAGCGTTAATGCTCTTTGGATTTGAATGGATTGCCACGTTATCTGCTTTTTGGTGACTTATAATGTGACGCTATTAATTGTCACGATACACTCTTGTCGAATACCTGCAATACCTGCAGTATTATACATTTGGTGTAGAATCGCGTTGTACGCATGTACCTAATGTTATGCCTCGCATGTTAACGTTCAATTGCATGGCTTCGTCCGTCAATACAGGGCAGAACGAGATTAACGGCTACTGTTTGTTCGACTAAAAGCTCGGAAAATGGCTGCTTTATAATACGGTGAGGTCATATTTGCCCGAAGCTTGCTGACGAATGTTGCAGCACTGTACATATTTGTTGTAGGACGCATAGGACATTTTAGCGAAGGCGATTGTAACGCGGCGGTAACGGTACGGCGATTGTACGGCGTATCAGTAAAGCGACATCCACAAGCGACATCAAATGGGATTGGAGCAGCGTATTCATGTCGAACAATTCTGATTCAATAATTCAATGAAAGCAAAATTTTTATTTCTTTTTATTGTCACACCCCCACACTCACTCAAACGCACACACACATACACACACACACACACACACACACACACACACACACACACACACACACGCGCGCGCGCGCGCGCACGCACGCACACACACACACACACACACACAGATACACACACACACGGCGCGCGCACACACACACACACACCACACACCACACACACACACACACGCACACACACACACGCACACAACACACACAGCACACACCACACACACACACACACACACACACACACACATATCACACACGCACACACACAGTATATATATATATATATATATTATATATATATATATATATATATAATATATATATATATACATATATATGTAACGGAGCTGGTTTCACCATAGCTTATTATAATTACTGTTAGTTTGGGCATGAGGCCGTGCGGGTCGCGAATTTGCGATTCCCAAACGTATAGCTTTGGAAGAAAAATTGAGAGCAACGTGATTGGCTAGAAAAATGTTAGGACACGCGTTATTAATCAACAAGCTAATATATTAAAAATTAAGCTAATATTATAAAGAAAATATATTTAATTCAGAACATAAACAAATGTTACAGAACAAATAAATGCAGAAACAAATAAAATACAAAAGAAATTACATAACGCAGAGAAAAATAAGTAAAAACAACGTATGGCTTTCGAACGCTCTGGCGCTGATCCACTGAGGGAGATACTAAAATCGTAGATATAAAAATTTGTTAACCCTATAACCCTACCTTAACCCTAACCTTAACCTAACCTAAACATAACCCTAACCGATCCTAACCCTAACCCCTACCCTAACCCTAACCTAACCCTAATTCTAAAAAAAACAAATTAGCCAAAAATAATAAGAAATAAAAATAAATAAGGCCCCTGGTGCAAAATACGCAGATGGTGAGCGTGCGATAGTGGGGCGTGTCCTAAACATTTTCTACCCAATCACGTTGCTCAATTTTTCTTCCATAGCTATACGGTTTGGGAATCGCAAATTTGCGTGCGGGTCGCGTTGGCGACAAGCCAGGGGGAAATAGATGAGATATTCGTCGGTGCGCGCGATCCAAAGCGTGGAGGGTAATAGTAGAAAGCAATAGGTATCAGCTAACGACGTCAACAGAGGGGCCGGAGTGCGGAATAATCTGTTATAACCCGCAGCCGGCGCACGTCGTGACCAGGGAGGTCAAACAACAAGCTCGGGTACATTTAAGGGCGCAGGAGGCTCTCCATTTGTTTGACTGTCATGCACGTGTAGTTACTTATACGCATCCAGCCTTACGTTTCTGCTCTTTACTTGTTGTTGCATTATGACCAATATAGCTGTTTGTAGTACGTTACTTTACTAGTTCGTGTTTACTTCTTGTCTTACGCTGTTGCTATGCTTCACTCCTACGGCTCTTTCCCCACACCCTAGAAGTACGAGGTTACATATATATACATATATATTATATGTATATATGTATATATCAGGGGGTAATAATGACAATTTGTCATTATTAACCCCGATATATATATATATATATATATATATGGTTTATTCCATTTCGCCATTTTCCCACTTCGCCATTTGCCATTTGCCATTAAAAATTCCCACTTCGCCATTTGCCGTTTCCCGTTTCGCCATTTCAACTTCGCATTTTCCCATTCTCGTCAGTTTCCCACTCGCCGTTTCCCATTTCGCCAGTTTCCCGTTTCGCCAGTTTCCCATTCCGCCATTTCGTCCTATCTCCCGGACCACCCCTTGTTCAAGGTGGCTAAAAGTAGGCCTCTGTAATGATAAATTAATAACGAATCTTTAGATATGAGAGTCAACTATTTATTTGAAGGAAACAGAGCGCGAAATCGTACATATTCAAACATATGGATCATGTAAGGCACCTAAACCCTAACCCTAACCCTTAGCCCTAACCCTAACCTAAGAAATGACTCTTTTTTAAGAATGAAAGATTAATTTCGTGCAGGGGTGGAAGCACATAAAATATTGGCGAAATGGGAAACTGGCGAAGTGGGAAAATGGGCGAAATGGCGAAAATGGCGAAATGGGAAAATGGCCGAAATGGGGAAAAATGGCAAAGGTTAGGGAAAATCGCAAATGGGAAACTGGCCCGAAATGGGAAATGGGCAAAATGGAAATGGCCGAAGTGGGAAAATGGCGAAATGGGAAGACACCATATATATATATATTATATATATATATATATATATATATAAATATATAGTATAGAGAGAGAGAGAGAGAGAGAGAAGGAGAGAGAGAGGAGAGAGAGAGAGAGAGAGAGATGAGAGTGAGAGAGAGAGAAGACAGAGAGAGACGAGAGAGACGAGAGAGAGATGAGAAGAGAGAGAGAGACGAGACGAGACGAGAGAGAGAGAGAGAGAGAGAGAGAGAGAGAGCGCGGACGGAGAGAACTATTTGTTGTGCAACAAGATACGACAAATATATACGCGTTATACATGTAAGGTGTTCACATAGCAAACTGCACAAGTCCCGTGTACAGTATAGGACCTCACTGCGCTCTGCCTTTCAACATTATGTTGAAGTGTTATAACGAACGTTGCCAGTCGACATCTATCGCGAAAAATATACGTGCAGATTCTTCTCTAAGCTTCTCTATTCTTCTCTATGCTAAATTTATGTTATCCGTCCGCGTGCTTGCATTATATGATTTTAGATAGCAAATCTTTTTCTGAATGTATGCATCAACTATAGCCGCGTTCACACGGAGCGAAGGAACTCGGGTCGAAAACTACCCGTTCGTCAAATGCGTCCGGGGACGAGCGTTCACACGGACGTGTTTCTCGGTACGAAAACGACTCGGGTCGTTCTCTGGTTCATTTTGCGTTCGGTGAACGCGGAATCGGGTTGGGAATTAGTACGTCACAACACGAAAGTAACAGAATAAAGTAACGAAGTAAACAGAATATTGGAGCTTTGGTTGGAAGTCAGTTAGCAAGAGTTTTGATTGTTAATTTCGCATTGTTCGCTTGGACGCATTGTATTTTTTTTCTTCAGCCTCACAGCTACGCAATAGCGTTTCCGTGTGAACCCTCGTCTTCAACGACGGCCCGTGTCGTTTATCGACACGGGTCGTTTTCGACCCCGAGTCCTTCGCTTCCGTGTGATACGCGGCTATAGTTGTGCATAACTTCAGAAAAGCATTTGCTATCTAAATCATATATGCAAGCACGTAGCGCCGGATACATAAATTTTAGGACTAGAGAAGGATATAGGAGAAGCTTAGAGAGAATTGCACGTATATTTTTCGCGTAGATGTACTTGGCAACGTCGACTTGTCATTTTTCGAGACGTCTTTGGATGTGGAACGTCCTTGGATCACGACCAGATTTGCGTTTACACGGT